TCGCTCTCCTCCGTCCTCCTCGTCCTCCTCGTCCTCCGTCCTTCTCGTCCTCCTCGTCCTCCGTCCTCTCCTCCCGGCGCTCGCCCGAGGCAGGCCCCCAGGGCCTGAGGAGCCAGCGCCATTGGCCTCCTTCGACGACGACGACGACGACGACGACGACGGACGACGACGACGACGACGACGACGGACGACGACGAAGGACGACGGACGACGAACACGAACGACGAACGACAGCCCCCCGCCGCCCCCACGGAGAGCGCCGAGTAAGGAACGAAGGGGTCTCTGGCCATGGCGGACCTTGGCCACAAGAGCCCCCCTCCGACCTAGCTTTAGGTCGGGCGTGTCCCCCCCCCCAGGGGGATTTTGGACAAAGATAAAAAAGTATTCAAAACATACACAAATGTAGCCCAAACTAGTCACACATTCGTCCCCGGATTTTTTTTTGACTATTTTTGGATCTTCCTCCTGTAGAGGGACAGGCCCAACCTAAACCGAGCAGGATCAACGCAGCGGCCCGAAAGCCGGAGCCCCTCCCGAGAGCCCGAGCTGGTCCTCGGCTCCGCGCGCTGGCCGCAAGAGGGCCTCTCCTGGAGCGCGCAGACCTCGTGCTCCTCCTCGTGCTCCTCCTCCTCCTCCTCCTCCTCCTCCTCCTCCCTCTCCTCGTCCTTCCTCCTCCTCCTCCTCCTCCTTCTCCTCGTCCTCCGTCCTCCGTCCTCCGTCCTCCGTCCTCCTCCTCCTCCTCCTCCTGCTCCTCCTCCTCCTCTCCTCCTCCTCCTCCTCCTCCTCCTCCTCCTCCTCCTCCTCCTCCTCCTCCTCCTCCTCCTCCTCCTCCTCCCCTGGAGCGCGCATCCGCGTGCGCACGGGCACAGCTTCCCGACCCCAGCGGCGCCCCGGAGAGGCGAGGCCGGGGAGCCGCGCGAGGGCTTCTGGAGCTTGCTGGGCCCCAGAGCTGGCACAACACAAACGGCGCCCCTCTCGCACCGAAACGCCAGCTGAAGCATCCCGAGGATGGAGATCGGCCAGGATCTCCGCCGGAGCCGACGCCCCTTTTTTTCCACAAGAGGGCGCCACGCTCAGCTAGCTCGCCGATCCACTCGTCTTCGTCGTCCGTGTGCGGAGCGCGGCAGTGCGGAGCCGACATCCACATGGCGGGCTCCGAACATCCCGCGCACGACAACGTCGCCATCCATTTGGGGCGCATCCTCCACCTCCGCCAGCTCCTGCCGGCCTTCCGCCCGCTTCCGCCAGCGGAGCCGCCCGCGCTCTGCTCCCGCCTCTCGGGGGACTCTTGGATGGGGTCTTGGGGGCTTCTATCGGGGGCCTCCTGGGAGCCTCCTGGGGAGTCCCGGAGGCCTCTGGGGCGCCTCCTGGGGCGTCTTGAGGGACCTCGGGAGCCTCTTGGGGGGCTCCTGGGGCGATCTTGACGAGGCGCCGCCTCCTCCGAGCCCCCCTGGGAGGGCGAGGCCCCTCCTGGAGCGCGCCCCCGTCGCCCGCGCAGGCTCGCGGCCGGCCGCTGCGGGGCGCGGCCGCACGGAGCCGAGGCGCGGTCGCCCCCGGGGCGGAGCGTGCCCGCGGAGGCCACTGCTGCGGGCGCCCCCGGGCCACGGGGCCGTGGGGCACGGAGGCGTGCGCGGCGCCCGTGGCGACCGCCCTCGGCGAGGCCCGCCGACGAGCGGGGGGGGGGGGGCAGGGAGAGGAGGGGGGGGGGGGGCCGCCACGCGCGGCCGTCGAGGGGAAGGCGTCGACGGGCTCTCTCGCGCTGCCTCGCGGGCTCGAGGGCTGCATCGGTGTGGCCTGGAGCAGCCCGCATGCAGCGTGGCTGAAAGCATCGTGGCGTTCTTGCAAGCATCGTCGTTCTTCGCACGATGTCCGGCATCGGGCGGGGGCGCCATGGGGCAGAGGATGGGGAGGCGGAATCCTGGCTGCATTTTTTCCGGCGTGCGAAGTGCGTTCACCCTGTAGCTGTTCTAGATTACGCAGAAGGCGAAAAGACTGAGCAAGCCAACGCGGCACTTCAGGCCGAGCTGGTCCAACGCTTTCCTTACCAAAACCGGGAGACGGGGAGCGCAGCGACGCATAGAGCGAGATCAGTATATAAGCCTGACTCGGGTCGGACACAAGCGGGGGTCAGCGACTCATCTCACGCAACTGATTCTCCCGGTGCCTCCCGGCGCCAGAGGCGCCAACCTCTCTCTCTCTCTATATATATATATATTCCTCTTCCTGTATTCTTATAAGCCCGGGCGGGGGGACCCCCTCCCCCAAAACCGGACTCCCGGGATCTGGGGCTTTGGGACCCTCCAGACCGGCCTCAAAGCGGCCCCCCAGGCCTCGCAGGGCGTTTTGCCAAGCCTTCCCAGCACACCTAGGGCGATCAGGGGGGTCATCGGAGACGTCCCAGAGACCCTCAAGACAGCACAAGAGCGCTCCAAGAGTGACCGACGTGACCTCAAGATGGCCCAAGAGGCCTCCAGGACGGCCCCAAAGAGGCCTCCAAGAGCACTCCCAAGAAGACCCCAAGAGGCACAAATCATTGATTTTCATTCTGTTTTTGGTGAATTTTGGGGTTCTCCTCTTTTCGGCTTCCCGACGCTCCAAGACGGCGGTCTTCTGGCGTCCGAAGCCGCCTGGGAGGCTCCCAAATCGCCCCACAACCATCCGAAAGGGCTTCCAGGCAGTCCAAGAGAGCCCCAAAACGGCACAACACGGGTCCAAAATGGCCGTCAGAGAGCCCCATGGCGGCCCAAGATGGCCCCAAAACACCCATCGAATCATTCCAAATCGTGACCCGGTCGTTCAGGGAGACCGCGGTTGGAGGCAGGTTGGCCCGAGGAAGCCCTCAAAGGCCCCCAGAATACGCCCGGGAGGCCTCCAGAAGGCCTCAAGAGAGCTTGAAACAGCTTTTGTGAGGCCCCCAGAGGCTCTCCAAGGAGGAACCTCTGCAAAAAAGGGCTGAGGAGGATAGGGAATGCGCAGGGTATGGTGAAAATGGAAAAAATTATCCCGGCGAAGCAACCTAACAGCGATGTGTAGAAGCATATATGAAAGCATTCCCCTTAAGATTCAAATGAAAATCCAGTTGTAGAATTCTGCTGTTCTCGCAGTCGTAGTCGCATTCGCGATGACAGTCGCAGCGGCAACGGCAGTCGCAGTCACAGCCTCAGCCTCAGCCTGCCTCAGCCTCAGCCTCAGCCTGCCTCAGCCTCAGCCTGCCTCAGCCTCAGCCTCAGCCTGCTTCAGCCTCAGCCTCAGTCTGCCTTCAGCCTCGGCCTCAGCCTCAGCCTGCCTCAGCCTCAGCCTGCATCAGCCTCAGCCTCAGCCTCAGCCTGCCTCAGCATCAGCCTGCCTCAGCCTCAGCCTCAGCCTGCCTCAGCCTCAGCCTCAGTCTGCTTCAGCCTCAGCCTCAGTCTGCCTTCAGCCTCGGCCTCAGCCTCAGCCTGCCTCAGCCTCAGCCTGCCTCGGCCGCAGCATCAGCCTGCCTCAGCATTCAAAATGTGGCCCAGGAGTGGAATTCTGGGAAATAGAAGAACACGAAGTGGCCTACAGTTGGCTCCGGGCATTCAAAATGTGGCCCGGGAATGGAGTTCTGGGAACTTGAAGAGCACGAAGTGGCCTACAGTTGGCTCCGGGCATCCAAAATGTGGCCCGGGAATGGAGTTCTGGGAAGTCGAAGAGCACGAAGTGGCCTACAGTTGGCTCCGGGCATTCAAAATGTGGCCCGGGAATGGAGTTCTGGGAAGTCGAAGAGCACGAAGTGGCCTACAGTTGGCTCCGGGCATTCAGAATGTGGCCCGGGAATGGAGTTCTGGGAGGTCGAAGAGCACGAAGTGTGTGACTGTTGGCTTAAAACGACTTCTGCGGCACCCTGTCCGGCACCCGCCCAGACCCCCCTGTGGAGTCATCTGCTGCTCTCTTTTGACACCACTAGAAACCTATCAGAACAAGCTGTTAGGTAATAAACATGGAGGAAGGACAACGAAAAACATTATTATAGCGGCGATGCCGGAAAAGGCATCAATGAGTTATCGCTAAATTGTCGGCTTGACCTTCCTGCCATTCCGTCAGCATACCAAACTTCAAGGACCGAGGTGCATGGCGCGAAGCGCCACTCCAATCTTGTATGTGTATATATATATATATGTGTGTGTATATATATATATATACGTATATATTAGCAGCGGGGCCAAAACCAGCCGTAGGCAGAAGATTTCGTGACCCCCCCTTTCCCTGCTGCTCCTCCTCCTCCTCCTCCTCCTCCTCCTCCTCCGTCCTCCGTCCTCCGTCCTCCGTCCTCCGTCCTCCGTCCTCCTCCTCCGTCCTCCTCCTCCTCCTCCTCCTCCTCCTCCTCCTCCTCCTCCTCCTCCCCCTCCCCTCGTTCGTCCGACCCGATCGACTTGAGGCGACATGCTGCCACGGCGAGCGGAGCTGGGCCTCCGCAGCGGGCCGGGCGCAGGCTCTGGCTCCGATCCGGGCAGGAGGGTGTGCCCAGCAGCGGGCCAGCAGGCAGCGGGTCCGGCTCCTATCCGGACGGCTAGGCGGTCGGGCGCGAGCCGTGGTCGACGCTAGGGTTAGGTCGGGCATGTCCCCCCACAGGGCGATTTTGGACGAGAAAAACAAATCACCCAAAATATCCAAACATATGCAAAAGATGCTCAAACAATGGTCCCCAGACTATAGTTTTGTTTATTTTTGAATATTCCCCCTGTAGAGGGAAAGGCCCGACTTAACGCTGAGGGCCATGTGGGTATGAGGGGGAACGTCGGAGGGGGTCCAGAACAGGGGAGAAAACCTCGAGCAGGACTGGGCGATTCATCGCCGACAGATTGGCGACAGGCCCTCGATAGCGAACGCGCACGTTCCTGGGCGGGATGGGCACGTCGGGCCCCCATCGGCGATGCATGGGCGATTGAAGGTCGCTGTATCCCCCCTGGGCTCGTCCCCCTTGGCTTTGCCTCCGAAGGTATCACACGCAGGCTGCGAGGGCGCCTTCGGTACCTAGCTTACTTGGCCTTGGGCTTCGGCGGCGCCTTCGATGAGGTCGGTGCCTTCGGCGAGAGGCGCGCCTCCATCTCGTCGATCAGCTCGATCATGGTCACCAGGACGATGTCGTCCTTGGGAGCGAAGACCTTCATCGCAGCGACCGCCATTCTCACTTTGGCGATGAACTCGCTGATCAGCTTCCAGGCCTTGGTTGTGTCGATGCCGTTGTCCTCGTACAGATGTTTTCTCGACCCGTGAATCATGAAGTCTACGGCCCAGCTGTTTGTCGCCTCGAGAGCATCATCTTTACCCGCGGCGGGCAAGACCATGGGCAACGCATTGAGGTCCATGTGCAACACGTTCCTGACGCAAGTGACCAACTCTTGCGGCGACTTGAAGCTGTCACCGCTCCCGGACACCGCCGAGAACGGCGAGCGTGCGCGATACCTGAGATCATCACCGCGCTCACCAGTCCAATCCAATCCGTCCCCCCCTCCCCTCCGCCATCCATCACTCGTCCTCCACGAGGGTGGAGGGAGAGGGGGAAAGGGGGACGATTGAGCTGGCGCTCGTGGCGAGGCTCTCCTCGCCTGGTGATCTGCCCCACGTAGCCCTCGAAGAAGCTGCCCTCTCCCTTCTGAAACGGCTCACCTCGGCTTGGCGGAGGAAAGGCTTCCTGGTGGAAGTGGGTCCTGGTCCCCAAGGATTTCCCTGGGACCGCCTGCTCGTCTCGAGTAACCAATTGTTTGACTGTCCCAAGGGCACCAAAGAAAATTCCCAGGAGACCGAAAACGACAAACAAAAACAAAAGCCGTTCCCTCAAGACCCTTTTCTTTTCATGGTGATCACCCCTGGCGTCCCAATCATCCGGGAACTCGATGCCGCTGAATGGCAGAGTGAGGTCACCTTGCTTGATCTTCCGTGAGGACGCCACCGTCCAGGAGAGCTGCTGGAATATCTTGAACGTCGACTCGGAGTACCTCATGACCTCCGCCAATATCTCTGACGGGAGCTTCGGCAGCACCGGGCATCCCTTGGAGGGCAAGTGTTTCTTCCTCTGCTTGCGCTCTGTCGGGATCAGGTCTGGCAACCGGCGGCGGAAGAAGAACCAAGCGAGCACGCTCGTAAGCTTCACCGTCAAGTGTGAGGAACGATCATCCTTGACCACATTCTTTTTCTCGTCCTTGAGATACTTGTGGAGAAGGCCCTTGCTGAGTAGCCGGCTCAATATGAAGTTTGCTGGCTCGACTTCGAATAAATGTACAACGAGGTTGGCCAAGCTCGTAGGGACACCCTTGGGGTCCAACAGGCCCTGACTGTAAAGGAACTCCACCGCAAAACGCGTGTAGTGCTGTGTCTGCGTCTCAAGCTCGGCCGTCTTGGACTTGAAAAAAGGGTTATCGAACATCGGCCTGAGGCACTTGGCGATCTCCTCCTTGGACCTCGGCAGTTCAAGTTCCTTAGACTGGAGCACGATTTCATCAGTGCTAATGACCTTCCACATCTGTAGTGCCCTCAACAGGCTCACTGGTGACAGCGTGTACTCCCCAGTGAGCGTCGGCAACTCCGATGCAATCAAGCTGCGCACCTTGGAGAAGCCCATGTCCAGGAAGACGACCTGCCCCAACAAGTCGAAGCCGCGACGCCCAGCGCGTCCGCTCATTTGGCGGAACATGAGGCCATTGAGCTCAACAGAACTGCCACAGAAGATAGTTGACCGGCACGGCATGTTGATTCCAAGTGCCAGTGTACCAGTCGCAAGAACAATCCTTAAGTATCCGCGCCTGAACAGAATCTCGACTGCCAAAGTGTAGTGGCGCTTCAGGCCTTCGTGGTGAATGGCAATGCCACGTCGTAGCGCATCGATGAGATACTGTGGCGTCTTCTTCTGCGCGAGCTTCTCCAGCTCCTCCTCGATGTCCTCCTGCCACTGGCCCAAAGCTTTCGGGCTGTGGAAAGAAAACTCCAGGTCGATCTGGTCAGCTAACTCGATGGGGGGCTCAGGCTCGTCAAGCATCTGGTCCTGTTGCTGGGGGGAGGGGAGTGAAAGAGCGAGAGAGAGAGAGAGAGATGCAGAAACCATGTATGTATACAGATATTTGTATATATGGTCCAGGGCTTGGGCCCCCCCCCCAATGCTGATGCCATTGGGCCCCCCCCCCCGCGCGATGGTCCCCCCCGCCCCCCCCTGTGGGCGTGGCGTGGTGCTGCGCTGCGGTGCCCCCCCCCCCCCCTGTGGATGTGGTGTGGTGCTGTGGTGGTTCAGAGGTGGGCGTGGCGTGGTGCTGCGCTGCGGTGCCCCCCTCCCCCCCCCTGTGGATGTGGTGTGGTGCTGTGGTGGTTCAGATCGTCGTCGTCGTCGTCGTCGTCGTCGTCGTCGTCGTCGCCGCCGCAGCCGTCGTCGTCGTCGTGTCGTCGTCGTCGTCGTCGTCGCCGTCGTCGTAGTCGCCGTCGCCGTCGCCGTCGCCGTCGCCGTCGCCGTCGCGTCGTCGTCGTCGTCGCGTCGTCGTCGTCGTCGTCGTCGTCGTCGTCGTCGTCGTCGTCGTCGTCGTCGTCGTCGTCGTCGTCGTCGTCTCTGGGACCATACCATCTGGGGGGGGGGCCCGAGGAATCCTGGGACCATACCATCTGGGGGGGAGGGGGGGGGGCCCGTGGGCCCGGAGCCCGGGACCATATATACGTTTGTTTATCGAGATTTTTATATCTTTATGTATGTATGTATGTATGTATGTATGTGTGTATGTAAGTAAGTATGTATATATATACGCACACAAATATATGGATGTAGACTGCAATTGCGCTTCGCGCCATGCACCTTGCTCCTTAATGTTTGGCATGCAGGCGGAAGGGCAGGAAGCTAAGACTGCAAATTTAGCGATAACTCCTTGTTGCCTTGTCTGGCATCTGCGTTATTATGGTGATATCCATTATCCTTTCCCTGTGCTTCCTCTTCCTCTCCCTCATTCTCGCCCTACCCTGTGAATGTGTCCCCATCCTCATTCGCATTTTTTGCGGAGGCTCCTTCTCGGAGAGCCTTTTGGGGGCCTCACGAAAATGTTTAAGGGCTACTTGTGGCCTTCTGGAGGCCTCCTGGGTTCCTTCTGGGGGCCTTCTCGGGCCACCATGCTTCCACCCGCGGTCTCCCTGAACGACCCCGTCACGATTTGGAATGCTTCGGGGGGCGTCTTGGGGCCATCTTGGGCCGTCATGGGGCTCTCTTCGGACCATCCGGGGGCCCTGTTGGGCCGCCTTGGGGCTCTCTTGGACTACCTGGAAGTCCTTTTGGGTAGTTGTGGGGCGATGTTCTGGCCTCCTGGGCGGTCTCGGACGCCCGGCGGACCGAAGAACATATCATTCCCCAAATCGGGCACGAGCCATTGGAAACCAACGTTTCCTTGCGCTTCGAATGCCTCCCAGGGGGTCTTCTTTGGGTCGTCTTTGGGGCGTCTGGTGGGTGTCTGGGGCCTCTTGGGGCTCTCGCGGGGCAGTTCGGCCGCCCTCCTGACCGATTTCGGTCCCGGTGCCTAGGCCCAGCAGGGGCGTCCAGGAGCCCCGGAAAGTCCAGGGGACCTTCGGCAGGGGCGTCCCAGGGGGCCCCTGGGGCCGCGGATCGGAGGGGGGGTCCCGTTGCGGGGGGTGAGATTTTCCCACCCACACAGATCGTAAAAAGATGCAAGAGGGTATGTAGGTATGAAGGCATGCATGCATGCACGCACGCATGCGTGAATTAATGCGTATGTATGTATGGATGTATGTACGTATGTCTGTATGTATGTATGTATATGTACATCTATATATATATATATATGCATATGGATCTGTACATAAGCGAACACATACGTATGTGCTTATGTATGTACACATGCATGCATGCATGTATGTCGTGTGTCTGTGTGTATGTGTGTATGTATGTGTGTATGTGTGTGTGCGAATGTGCGTGTGTGTGTGTGTGTGTGTGTGCGTGCGTGCGTGCGTGCGTGCGTGCGTGCGTGCGTGTGTGTATGTGTGTGTGCGTGTGTGTGTGTGTGTGTGGTGCGTGTGTCAGTGTGTATGTGTATGTGGGCACGTATGCATGCATGTATGCCTGTAAGTTTATATATGTACATGTGTAGGTATAGTTCTGCTTGTATGTTATTCTGTATGCATGAATCGCTGTATACACTATATGTATATATACACATATGTTTTACATAAATGTACATACACATGGACGCACCACATTAGCAACCATCTATATACATACATGTTTATATACAGGTATGACTATATGTGCATTTGTAGATACACATACACATGCATGTATGCATGCATGCATACGCATACGCATACATACGTACATACATACATACATCCATACATACATGCATACATACATGTATATATATATATATGCACGAATACTAAATACTAGAACAGCGCGCATGCTTCGCGCGCGCTTATGTTCTAGCAGCCCTCAACCCTCGACAAGCATACAACTGCATATGCATCCCCTGCAGCCGTTCCCCCCGCACTTCGGAGCCTCTGGGGAGCCTGTTCGGGGTCTCCTGGGCCCGACTGGGGCGCCTCTTGGGATCTCTTGGGAGCCTCTTTAGCGGTCTGTTTGAGCTGCATGAAAGCTCGTCGGGGCGGAAACTTTGATGTTTCGGTTTTTGTTATCCCCCTATGGGGGCGTTCGTAGGCCCTCTTGTGCCATCTGGGGGGCCTCTTCGACCGTCTCGGGGGTTCCCTTGGGCCCTCCGGGCGTCTTCTTGGGTGTCTCTGAGGCCGTGTTGGGGAGAGCTTTGGGGCATCTAGGGCTGTTGTGGAGCGTCGGGGTGAGCTTCTTGGAATTATTTTTCAACGATTCGATGCCTCCGTGAGCTGTCCTGTAAATATCGTGGGGCGTCTTTGGGGCCTCTTGGGCAGTATGGGCGTTCCCCTTGGGGAACACTGAAACAATCTTGGGGCGAGTTTTGGTGTTTCTGGGGCTGGTTTGGGTCGTCGGCGAGCCGAAAAACCGAACAGCAGAAAAAAACATCAAACTGCCGCAACAAGCATCCGAATTTTCTTAGTCCTCCGTGGATGGGTTATCGTTTTGAAAAGAGCACTGTGGTCGCGTTCTTTCTTCCCGCCTCCCTCCTTCCTCTCTCTCTCTCTTTCTCTTTTCTTGTCTCGCACCTGGGGCTGGGGGGCTGCGAACTGCGAAACTGTCGCCACTTTCGAGGACTAGGGGTTCCAGCGGAAAGACGTCTTACGAAGATCAGAGCGGGACCTCGCCGCCGAAGCGGGGCTGCGAACCGCCAAACTGTCGCTACTCTCGAAGGCTGCTGGGGGAACCAGCGGGGTGACGTCTTCCGCAAATCAGGGCGGGACCTCGCCGTCGCTGCGGGGCTGCAGACTGCGAAGCCGTCGCCGCCTTCGAGGGCTGCTGGGAGGCCCCGCGGGGAGACGTCCGACGCAGATTCGGAGCCGGGCCGCGCCCGTCGCCGGGGAGCTGCGACCCGCGAAGACGTCGCCGCTGTCGAAGGCTGCCTTGGGGGTCCCACGGCGAGGCGTCCTTGCGCAGAGCAGCGCGCAGACCTCGCCGCCGCAAGGGGGGGCTCCGAAGCGGGAGATTGGTGCCGCTTCCGAGGGCCGCTCGGGGGTCCCGCGGAAAGACGTTTTACGCAGATCGAAACGGAGCCTCGCCCGAGGGCTGCTGGGTGGGTCCAACGGGGTAGCGTCTCACGCAAATCAAAGAGGACGTCGCCGTCGCTGGTGTTCTGCGAGCTGGGAGACTGCTGCCACTTCCGAAGACAGCTGGGGGGTCCAGCGGAATGGCGTCTTACGCAAATCAAAACGGGACGTCGCCGTCGCTGGGGGTCTGCGAACTGGGAGACTGCTGCCACATCCGAATGCAGCTCGGGGAACCAGCGGAGTGGCGTCTTACGCAAATCAGGGCGGGACCTCGCCGTCGCTTCGGGGCTGCGAACTGCCAAACTGTCGCTACTTCCGAAAGCTCCTGGGGAATCCAGCGGGGTGGCGTCCTACGCACATCAGAGCGGGACCTCGCCGTTGCTGGGGGGCTGCGGCCTGCCAAAATGTCGTCTTTATCGAGGACTGCTGCGGGGTCCAGCGGCGAGACGTCTTACGCAGATCAGCTGCCATCGCTGGGAGGGGCCTCAACTGGGAAACTGTCGCCACCCGAGGGCTGCTGGGGGGTCCAGCGGAATGACGTGTTACGCAAAGCAGAGCGGGACCTCGCCGTCGCTGGGGGGCTGCGAACTGCGAAGCTGTCGCCAGTCGAGGGCTGCTGGGGGGCCCAGCGGGGTGACGGCTTACGCAGAGCAGGGCGGGACCTCGCCCCAGGGACACTCAACTAATCACCTCCATTAAGCCCCTGGTCCATCGACTGGTGTCCTGCGAATCGCGCAGCGCGCGAGCCTCCCAAGTAACGTTCGCAGAACATACACCTCCTTGCCACGCTATCACCCCTTTTATAAAGTCAGCCCCAACCCAGCTATTCTGGCCACGCGTTGAGCAGGGTTTGGGTACGTCGCCAGGGTAATTATACCTGAATGGGGCCCTCTTGGGGTGCGTTCGGGAATCGTCTGGAAGTGTTCTGGGGTCGTTTGGGGCCGTCTGGAAACCTTCGAGGAACGCCTCAGGGCGGTGTCGGCCACGTGGGGGCAGTTGTGAGCGTCTGGAAATGATTTCCAAGCGATTCGGGGGCCCTGCGGCTGTTCTGGAAGTATATTGGGCAGTCTTTGGTGCGTCGAGGGCAGTCTCGGCTCCCTCCTGGGTGCCTCTGAATCGGTCTTGGGGTGAGCTTTCTGTGCCTGTTGAGCTGTCTTGGAGCGTCGGCATGGCGAACAAAAACATAACACATAACCAACGACTTGTTGCTCTTCGGGCCCGCCTCGAGGGTGCCTTGGAACCCTCTTGGAAGATTTTTTTGGGGGCTGTGAGCTGCCTGGAAGTTTTCGTGGGAGTGATTTCTTAGCGATTCGTGGCGATCGTGGGCTGTCTGTCCTGGAGGTCTCTTGGGAAGTCAGTGCGACCTCTTGGGCAGTGTGGACCCCTGACACAATGTTGGGGCGAATTTTGGTGCTTCTGGGGCTGACTTGGAGCGTCGGTGGGCCGAACAAGCAGGAGCCCCCAACAACGTCAACAAACACATGCATGTATGCAGTTATGCATGTATGTATGCATGTGCATATGTATTTGTTTAGATATAAATGGATGTACGTATGTATATGTGTAGAGTTAAATATGTGTATAGTTATGTTTGGTTGTATGTATGTGTGCATGCATGTAATGTGTATGAATATAGCGACACGCACATTTATACACACATCTTTCCATACAGACATACTATATATGTGCACGCATTGATATGAAGAGGGGGAGGGATATACACGTACAAACATATATACATACATATGTATATACAGATGAACACATACCAATAAAGGTACACATATACATACGGCGTTACATATATAAACGAATATATATATATATATAAGTAGGAGAGAGAAAGAGATCATGCGTTAGAGAAAGAGAGACATCTATAGAGAGAGACAAAGAGAACGAGAGAGAGAAAGAGAGAGAGAGAGAGAGAGAGAGAGGGAGAGAGAAGGAGAGAAAGAGAGAGAGAGAGATAGATAGAGAGAGAGAGAGAGAGAGAGAGAGAGAACGAGAGCGAGAGAGAGAACACGCGCACACACACACAAACACACACACACACCACACACACACCACAACACACCACCACACACCACCACACACAACACACACACAACACAACACTACACAACACAACACAACACACAACACACAACACACAACACACAACACACAACACACAACACACAACACACAACACACAACACACAACACACAACAGACACACACCACACACACCACACACACCACACACACCACACACACCACACACACCACACACACCACACACACACACACACACACCACACACACACACACACACACACACCACACCACACACACCACACACACACCACACACACACCACCCACACCACACACACACACA